GAAACTCAGAATTTTTGCGAGACAACGGTTTCTTATCAATCATTTTGTCAGATTCCTCATGTTACCGTACCAAATAAGGTTTTTCCTATTGATTCACATATTTCTGATGAAATTTCTTACAAATCTGAAGAAAATATGTTGAGTGAACATAATTATGATCAAAAACCTGATGTAGTTTTGGTGAATGCCGATTTTTCTAACGATCATGTGCTCTACAATGACATTCTTAAGAAATTTGAGGAAATCATTTCGGAAGAATCAAACCTTGATATCATATCAAATATTATTTGTCTCATAATGCATTTGTTTCTTGTAGGAAACGTGTTCAGTGTGAAGCACAAGTACTAAATGAGTTAAATTTTGATTACAATTCGGATGGTTTCATATCAACTGCTGTTTATCCTTATCACGAAGTTACTTCTAATGTTTACTCTAATCAATGTGAGTAATGTGTTTTAAATGAAGCCATATCATCCTTAACTTGGGGATATGAAGATCCAACATTATTTCGTGGGGAAAAATAGTCTATGGTTCAAGTTCTAGGTAGCAGCGGTTTCAGTACACAACCGACATGCTGATTACACAATCCCAGAAAGCAGGTAAGTCTGTCCCGATTTCGGTTGTTAATTTTAATACTAATGAGTGCATTCTAGATAATGGAATTTTTATCCAATACAATGTCGGAAAGATACAGGATGAACTTAAGAAGACGTACAATCGATTATAGACACTTATACTCCTATTTAAGCTGTGGCGGACGTAGTGTTTGAATGAACTAACGATACCTTTGCACTTGTTGATTGCTTGATTTCGAATTCTAAATACAGTACATTCGTTTGTGCTTATCTATTACTTCTTGATCCGATTACGTTATTTCCGGAATTCTTAGTTCATACTATAATTCAAATAATCCTGAATATCACACATTGGTCTACATAAGAAGAGGTGTGGCAAGCCTTAGGTCTTCCAACTTCAAGACCCAAACTCTCTATTATGAAGAAATACCCAAAGTCCAATGAAAATTAGTAGTCTTCCCCAAAGTTTTTAGAAAAACCACAAAATCCGTGTTGCTTAGTTTTCCGGACAAACAATTAATAACCAATGCACTTTTAAATCTCGAAACGAAATCACAAATAATAATATAAGTTTTAATCTGACCATGGACTTCAGTTAGACTTTTATTGCTGACGTTTAGGTTCTGTTTTAGTATGTCAAATAGACATGAGACGAAGAAGAGTCGGTTTCACACCGCTTTTTTTTAAATATCACGCCATGCATTTGAATTGTCTGTACTGTCCATGAGTTAGATTACTGCTTCTGTTGAGACTGGCTAAAGCTACTTGTTTCTTTTAGACTAATAATGTAGAACGTAATGAACGGGATAAAAGATGAGTTACATCCAACAGAGTATCAAATATGATGGTTTGCTTTCGATCAACCTCTTACGGAGGGTTGAGGAAGTTGAGATCCTGTTTTGAGAAAAGGTACCAGTTAACGACCAAAGAAAAAACTACACTTCAGTTAATGTAGAAGTAGGCCACACCGTAGATACAGAGCGTCGTAGCAGTATTGTCCCAGAATCGGCCACTACCTGCTGTAGTTACGTTCATTGTGCAGCAAAATAAGTTTCAGTGAACTGAAACTGCCACTCTACCACTCGAGTGGTCCGCTTTCTGGTGACTTAACAAATGGTTTGCTAAAGTCTACGTAGACACCTATTGATTTTCCGCTATTTAGAATCCATGTCCATCGCTCTCTTGCTACGACGAGGTTTGCTGTGCAAGATGATCTTTTGCTGAAACCATGTTTTTAACCAGTAATTGTATTGGAGGAGGAGAATTAGTGGTAAGGGATTAGTGCAACAATAAACTCAACAGGTAAGGCGTTGCTTGGTCCGGAGAAACCTAGTTATAAAAATTGTATTTCTGTAACATCTTAGGTTGTATGGTTAAGAGTTCACATCAAACAGCTAAGCCTATTTCAAAACAGTAGGGTTCAAGTATTCATTCACTCCCTTATTTTGTATAGGCGTTATATTTCCTACTATCTTATATTGTTTGTCTGAACAAATAATCCCACGCTCCACTGTGACTGCGTGAAGATTTAGATAAAAACTGTTCACTACTTGTCTGGTTTCTTCTATCAATAGCATGAGGCCTACCCAAAGTCATGAAATTTTTTCAGACAGTCAGACTAGGAAGATAGAGGACAAAGATATCAGCGAAATTCAAGGGACAGTCTGAATATTTAGAGGCGAGGTGTCTGAGCCAAATGGTAGAGCTCTAGATTTTGTGTGGTGGCTGGTAGGTAATAATTCGAAGGCGAAAACCGAATTTCAGATGACCTTGCATCCCTCTGAGGTCATGTTTTCTCCGTTTTGTGAGAACTTTGCTAGCAATAAGACAACTTGAAGATTCTCAGATGGTTGTGACTTTCGTCGCGGACGACAGCAAGAAATATTTGAATGTGACCGTTTAATACATTTTTACACCTGTAGAGAAGCTGAGAGAATGTTTATCACAATAAATGAATGATCGTTTAACGGAGGTACCATTTCGAACTAATGGATAACTATATTAGAGGAAATAAAGGTTGTTTTGCCTGATACATGTTGAGAAGAGACTTCTGTTGGCACACCAGCGAGTTATAACACCACTTATACAACTGTAAGCTTTGGATGAGACATCAAATTAGATGTATTTAAGTTTGTAAGACGAGCCTCTGACTGTACGAGGGATATTATCTGTCGTCTCTTTTCTGTTCGAACTTATGGGTTTCATCGGTTCAGAATGACCCACTCTTACGTTCATCTCACAAACTCTATACAAGGCTCATATAAATTGGGATCGACGGCTCATCGGGACAGATGTATCGACTTGGCTAAAATGAGTAGGTAGGACCGAATGAGTTGACGAACTCGGAGCGGAGGCAGAACTGCATTTATTGATTGCTCATGCAACCGCCTCACAGTTTTGTTACATGGTAAATCGAGAAAAGCGTAACCGAATAAATCGCTGTGCCGAAACTGGAAATGATTGCAGCGGTATTAAACGTGAGGATTAGCTCCAAATAAGAGTTTCACTAATTTGTTATTTAAAGTGAATTTTTTTGCAATTAGTGTTGTAATACTGATAGTTGGCACCCAACTTTTATAGCCAATCTCCACGAAGTCTACAGTGTCAGCAAGTAAGTGGAGATAAAAAAAATATCTGAACACGTAGGTATTGCTTTTTTAAGTTGTCGTGAATATCGTAATAACTTTTAGTGCCACATAAAAATAAGAAATTTTAGTGCCCCATATCTGATACCAGTTAGATGGTTTCTGATTGTTTTTGAAACATACATGTCACCAGTCCTCCCACATAATTTTCAACTTAACTCACATGAAATAAGATAATGGGTTTTTGAATACTTATATTTCGTAAAATTGTTGATCAGAAAGCAGAGCATCGCAAAATGACGCACAATGAAGGCGACGAGTAAGCCAGCTCAATTTAGCTGAACGTGAATCGGTATTAATAGTTGGACAAAAATAAGCTACAGAACTGTTATGAATGTCATAAGAAGTCCAAACAAATACGTTCATATGAAAACAGTCAAGGTCCATAGGCGAATGGCTAACAAGGTCAAGGTTTGGTTCAAGTTTAATAGTTAATTAGACGGTTGATTTGCTGTTTAAAATAAGCCTCGTGCTGAAATGCAGAGGAACCTTAGGGAGAATCAAGGTGATATTCTTTGAAGAAATTTTACGAAAATTCAAGCAATAATCCTTTGAAACGTCTCCATCTGTCCTGCGAAAATTTATTGTACTATTTGCCTATGTTTCGCTTGGAGAGACATGCCTGGTAATCCATGAATAATTTATGCAATATAGTCTATCTCTAACAAATATTTAAGACAAATAGTCTTCCAGACCTGGTGAACGCCTGGTGTGGTTGAAGGAAAATAACGAAATTTCCTTGAGAACAATGTTTCCTATCTGATTTTCAGAAACTGAACGCGACTGAAGAAAGCTGTGCTTGCATTAAATTGTCCTTGCAGAGGACTCAAACATAATTGGATATACTAACAACGAATCTTTAAATAATTGAACACCAACATCAGGTAGCAAGAACGTCTGTAAAGTCAAAATCTGAACATAGATTGTAAATAGTTCGACGAGTCTTTTGAAACTTCTATGGAAACAGTCAAAGAAAATATGATCTACCAACTGACGGGGTTTTTGAGATACCAGCGAATAATCAAGTGCCGTTATGCTTTAAATATTCTGAATTTTGCACATTACTTTAACAAATGATTTATTTCTCGTCTAAGCGTCTCCGGCGTTCTCCTCTATTTTCTCGTGTAAAATTTGGCCCGTATGAGCTAGAACATTGATTTATAAGCAAAACGTCAATTGCTTGAATAAATTGCATCACAGTTTGCGAAAACATTGCCAATATAAGGATCCCAGTGACACATTTTCATTGTAACTGACATATATTATAGGCACATGATGTAACATGCAAGGAAATGGAAACGAGCAACTTATATGATGTTCAGTGGACGCAAATAGTTACTAAGAGCCTCTATTTAAAAGAATGGTGCTTAATACGAAGTTTTTCCAACTACGTCTCACTAGCTTTAAATACCTGGGTTTGACTATAGTCCTATATATATATTCATATGTACGATGTTTAATTTCCCACCTAATTATTGACGGATCACGCCGAATGTTCGATTGGCTTTGGGTCCATTACAATGGTAATTTCACCTCGACAACCATAGAATTGCCACTAGCTACATTCGGACGTCCGTTGAAAGTATCATACATCATTGAGGACGAGAGAACTGTTGATTAAGGAAAAACATGCAGCACCCGAATCTAGCGAGATAGTAACTAGTCGGTTAAATAAATTACCACATAATATTTGAGCGAACGGTCTATCATCATCACACGAAATCCACAGAAATGGAGCAATCGACATTGAATGTCTCCTTGATATACCCGCTCTCTTTGTGCACAAGTGAGTAGCGGCGGTAAAATGGTTCTTTTAAATGACTATTGTGGGAATTGCCTATATCACTCAGACAATTGTAGAAATCATCATTGAAGTATTTGTTTGACAATAAAAACATTCCCTTTCGTAAAAAAACATCATTTTTTGAGGAGTATTTCAATCTAGGTTTTCACAAAAGTACGTTATATAACGTAGTATTTCTTCGACCTAAGTCTTCAGTACGCGCACCGATTATCAAACTGGTTTCAGCTTTTTCTAACTTGCGAAATCTTTATATACAGCAAACTCAGTATACTGGGCTTTATTTATTTTACGATCCGTATAGTTACATTGGTTTATCTACTTCGGAGTTACGGAAAGACTTTCGTTTGTTTTGAGATGAGACTAACGAAAATACTCATCAGTCTATGTGTGGGCTACTAATCAATTGCACTTGCATCTCGTTAGTTCGCAAGGCATTAATATGGTAATTTCCACAGTAGTTTAACAAAACAATCATTTAGGTTTTGTGTAGTGCTCAGTGGGATTATGGAACGGTCTAGTTGACATACATGTATGCTAGTCTTTTTGTTCGGGTAAATATTGACTCACAAAATGGTAAAATTTCACAAGGTGTGCTATATGATGGCTTGCTGACTAAAGTCATTGAGTTAACAACAGTTGAATATTCACACTTGCGAATATCTAAATATTTTACTTGATCTTATATGGCAAATATTCACTTGTTATCTTGCTTACACAAGTCTTAGTAAAAGTTCTTTTAGACTATTAATCATAGACCAGATGAATAAGTTCTTTTCACTTTCTAAGACCAAGTTTCGCCAGTCTTTATAAATTCTACATTATTCACTCACTATGATAACATAAAGTTTAAAAAATAGTTACCTCATTTTCCCTCTTACAGGTCTCATATTTCTGTGTTTGGATTATTTTTTTCTCAAATCACAGTGTATATTTACTCTATTTTCGTCTAAAACGGGTATGGAATAAAAACATAAACTGTATAGCTTGAAAATTGGTTCAAATGCATCTTAGGTTGATAAAATAGATTAGTTTTAATTAGGAAACGGTGACAATGGAGTTTACCGAAATCTTTGAGTAGCATTATAACTATGTTTGGTATGCGTTTCCTATACTTTTGATACAAACATGTTGCTTCTGGACTGGTCAACATTATGTGGATTAATCATTGCGAGTAAAGTTGGTGGTCTCTTATGTATTACTATATGACAAACATGGTCTTTGGATGTAGACTTGAGTTGCCATTTTGTGATCATTGATATCTTCGTCGCATTGCTCAGGTATCCTAGGAAGATTGAGTAAACAACACTGAGGTAAAGCACAAAGTACTAGAGGAGGATAGGGAATCGGTTAGTGTGGTTAGAAATTTTTATCGTCTGAGGTAGTTGGGCATGTTTTACGCATGTCTAAATGTCATCTATCTTGAGGGTCAATGCTAACTGGTGTAGAAGTAGGTTTGAAGAAAACTAAGCTAGGTCAAAATAGAAAGATGTATCAGTTCATAAAATCATTGATTGTTGATCTGAGCCGTATTAGCAGGTACGGGCTACCTGGTTGGGGCCCGCCCGATAACCACAATTATTGGTTGGAGGCGTTAAGTAAAGTAGCTTTGAATTGGTCTCGGTAGAGCTAATATATTTGCTATCCATCTTACTTTAGATTTTAAGTCCCAGTATTCTTTCATCCTTTTTTCATTCCGTCTCCTCAAACCATATCAGTAAGTTAGCCTTTTTCATCATTACTGTTACATTATTTCTACTCGGCCATTCATACTTCTGATTTTATCTTGTCTTACTGATGTGGTTTGACAGCCGTACGTTCACTAGGACTAATTGGCCAACTGTTAACTGTTGTAAAATGAGAAGAGATTTTCGTCTCTTTCGCAAATTTTGGAACTAAATAAAATATGTAGCAGTAGGGATAGGATTATCCTAAGTTGATAGGGAAATCTAATCAAATAACCAAAATATACATATAACCTATCAGTCGTCAATAATAATACAACTGGAAGGTCTTTGTTTATTTTCATTGAACTGCTCTTATTATAGTTCTGTCTAGAGGGTTAATAAATTGTTCACATTTAAATATATTTTCTTAACACTTACGTATGATTTAGTGTATCCTAATTGAAATATTATATCTTTACTTTTTTAATGTAGAATTTCTCCTTATCATTTTGAAATCTTTTAGATAGTGTTTAACTTGATTGATGTCTAACATATTTGAAAGTAATAAGGATAATACAACTGAAGATGGAAGACTACTGTATAACTTTTTCAGCCTACTTTATATTTTTGGAGGAGCGGTTCCTTATATTCCACAATATTTGAAAATTCGCAAAACACAATCTATTAAAGGTTTTTCCTCATTTGTTTGTTTTATACTTTTAATATCGAATATCCTAAGAATATTGTTTTGGTAAGTTTTTCATTGTTTCATCTACTTATTATGTTTTTAGTGGAATAAGTAGTTACCCTTTCTTTTTCGAAACCAAACTGAAAATCATTGGGTTACAAGTTAATGTTCCAAGTTTTAAACTTATATGTTTTTTATAATGAGAACTGTTCGATAAGGTATACATGACAATTATATACTATTAAGACGATAGTATATACTGTTTCTCCTGCTAAAATCTTGGTTTTTAATGTTTCATCTGGGACGTTTATTTATTTACTTAGTACTTTAATATTACGAAAGATTGAAAGATTATTACTGAATGTTTATTTTACAATGGACTCGATTACATAATCACAACCGTCCCGCACTATTACTATATTAGTGCCATGTTTTGGTAAAGTGTGCTTCAGAACCCTACAAAGCTGGTCACTCCAAGTTTGTTTCTTAGTAGCAACCACATGACTTGTAAAGCATGCTTAAGTTCATGCACTCGGCTTCAAGTTAAATTCTCGTGTGAAGACTAGTTTACCAAGTGGCTCCCGACATATAAAGAATTGAAGTGAGGTTCTAACTTCCAGAGGTGGCTGTAAGTTGGTTGCTTTAATCACTAAGCAACTATTCCTAAAAACGCCTCTTATTATTATGAAAAGAACATAACACGTTTGTTCATTGTGAATCGTATTCTGGTTTTTTCGACATTTCAAATACTAGTTTATTGAATTACAGTCAAATGAACCGTGTTCTGCCTGAATTTTTAAGTTTGTTGTATGGTACTAATATGACGGGCATGAATCAGTCTGGATAGTCAGGCCTTAATTCGTTGGAGAGTGAGCGACTTAAGAACTGATTTCTTCCAGTCTATGTGCTATTTTTTGTGTTTGTTTTATTTATAGGCATCTAGTCCTTTTTGCATAAGAATGTTATTTCGATTAGTGGTCTTGTTTTTTATTTCAAAGCATTCGGGGTTTTACGTCAGTAGTCCGGTCTTGTAAGCAGTCATCACAGCCACATTGTATCACTCCATATTATCTGCCGATTAGGATTCTTTACCTTGACTTTAACAATCGAAAATTCGCTTGCCAGATCATTAGAATTCTAATCTGTGGCAAATAATTCATTATATTATCAATTTAGTTTGTACCACCTGTGGCTTGTTTCTTATTGTATAAAAGGAGTGATCAAATATAAATATATTGTTATGCTTTTCTTTGCTTTGCAAGTATAGTTTATCTATATAAAAAGTTGTGCAATATTGAGGGGAGCAGAGTACATATCATTTTGATAACATCCAGAAAGCATATAAAGGAGGAGCTAGATAAAAGATAATCACGAAAACTGGGAATTTAGTTGGGGCTATTGTTTTTTTATCTCATTGTTTCATGTCGAAGTATCTTCTGAATTTCTACTCTTCAATTTAGTGCCACATCATTTCAAGCTTTAAGTCACTTTGCATCATCTCTAGGGTATTGTTCAAGAAGTTGCGGTACACTTATATACTCTCATCCAACACCTGTATTTTATCTCACAGCGTCTTCCATAAGTAATTTCGTTTTTCAACCACTTATGGCGGTAGCAATTACTATTCATCATGATAGTTTGAGAAAGTGATGTCTCTACTGCTGTATTACTTACAAAATTTGAATATCATCGTCGAATTAACAAGAATTTTGGAGTGAACATTGGCCTAGAATTCAAAGTTTGTTTTATTGGTCCATAAATAGAAAGCTTTAACCTGATCGCAACACAGTTTGTATAAACTCTTAGGTACTGATCAGTTTAACCTCCCTTCCCATATATATTTATGCATTATTTTCTCGTTATAGGTTTGTACAGCCATTTTCAACCGCCTTACTTTTTCAAAGTTTCATTATGATTGCTACTATGCTTATGCTACTGAGAACTATTACTCAGTTGTCTAGCATAAAGCGTTCTCCGTCTATGCCATGTACAATCAGTATTAGGAAAGTAGAGACAGAGACTTGGAATATCAATCAGTTCCAAGGTGAGTTGTTAAAGTATTAGAACGTTTCAAAATATTGATTGTTTCAGTGATTTGTTTGTTTCAAATGTCTCTCGAAGATTGCCCTTGTTAATTGAGTTTTTACGTTTAGGCGAAATTTTGCTTTCAGATGATTAAATTATGCAATTGTATTCTTTTAATGATTGTAGAGTTGTAAATCATCTGGATATTGATTTATTTTATTTGGTTAAGTTATTGAACTGTATTTGTAGATACATTAAGTGCATCTAAAAGTCTATTATAAAAATCTGTCCTTGTTTATTAAGTCAAATTCACCTTGAAAATGAAGATATGGACAATTGTTTTTTCATGTGATCATGAGATTATTTCCAATCCTCGTATATTGACGATGTTTTATGGTTCATACTGGAGACAATATGGGTCGAGTGCAGACATGTCAAAAAGTTTTCTTGAAATTGTCGTAGTAAAAAAAGGTTCTTGAACAGATTAATGATAAAGTGATAAAACGTTCGATTCAGTGCGTTCAGAGAATTACGGAAAAACATATAGGCATACATCTTAGGTTTTATCCTTTTTTATATGTATTTGAACTATCTCTTCCGTGAATTTCATGAACAAGGACCTTAAATACCACAGTAAATAACCGAATTGTTACATGGGGTGCCCTCCTTGTGTTAAGCGACTGTACATCGTAGCATGAGTTGTTTGATGTTAGGTGTTTGAGGGTAGTCGATTGGAACAATTTAGTAGTATCTGTTCTGCTCTTGAAACTGTCGGCTGTAGTCCTATAGGAAACTTCAGCATTTGATAAATGCCAACCAACAAGTAACCGAGGTTTAGGGTTGCTTGACAGCCTCGTATAGCTACCTAACAGATGGAGTAAACATAAAGTCAGTCTGTATATACACTTTCCACAGTAAATAAGCCCATAACTAGCTAAAATGTTTTCTACCAAATTAGGGTTAAGTTGACAGAATATACGCATTATTCAACCATTTCATGTTGAAGAATTCTAAAAGTAGTAACCATATTATGGTGACCTTTTCAATAGATTTCTCTTGCTCTGAGCTGTCGCTTATTACCTGAAGGAAATAGTCGATCACTCTATGGCATAAATTCTTATCTTTTTTTATAATAAAATGACGACACATTGGTTGTAGCATTCTTTTCGTTTAGACCATAAGTGGTTGGTCATGTGATTATGTCAGTACTGATACTAGTTAATATTCATAATGTTCGTACACACTCATCTTAATATGCTTTATGATATAAAACATTAAATCTATCACTTTTATTATGATCAATATACAACTTCTAACTACATGATCACCTTTGTTTTCTGTCAGTGGATGGTGGATATGGCTATATGCGTAAAACTTCTCAAAGTTCTCATAGGCACCGTTATGCTTGGTGGTCAAAGCGTGCTGAAGAGTTAGGAGCAGGAGCTATATCTGGTTAATCCCGGAAACTTCCAAGTCGTCCGAGCTGCTAACAGCTAGATGCGTAGTGTAAATGAAACATCCTATGTGGTTAATGGCACACCGATTAGTAATCTTCAAAGAAACTCTCAATGCTAAGTAGGGTACTTTGTGGGTTAGTTTAGCTGGTTTCCTACTACTCAAACAGTATCAACGAACCTGTCCTGTTCTTGGAATGTGTCTATTAATACACCAAACGAGGCGGAGCTCCAAAACGAACTCCAGCTTCTGGAGCATTCCTAGTCACCAATCTCAGACAACCTACCCTCAACCCTTTTCAACGATAGAGGCAAACATCTGCTCAGAGAACTTACCAAACCGTTTGGAAAGATTTAGCAATTTAAGAGCATTTTATCGTCCTGGACTGAAGCGATTGTCGATTCATATCTTTAAGGGGTCTATTTAAAGGGTGTAATAATTTTGACGGTAAGAGTCTTATAATTGCATCTAAACTATGCTTCTAGAATTGTGCAATTCTTGTAAAAAACTGACATATGATAAGCAAATGAATTTTCTTTCGTTTTGTTCGATCATTTCTGACATTTCATCTACATCGATCATTTCCTAAAGTTTACTCATGTTTGCTTGATACTGTTTAGTATCGTTTAGTATCATGGTCTCAGATCATCGTGTTAGGTGGGTTATGTCATTTCAGCTGCTTCCAAACTGTGCATTAAGTGCTTACTCTAATACTGGGTGAAAAATCGAAATCACTAGTTCATAGCATATCACCGTGGAATGATAGGTTGCTTCATACAACTAGCAGCTATTAGCCTAATTTAATTTCCTGATTGTATTATTATTATTATTTGAACACATGAATATTGGTACAAGAGAGCGTCAATATATATGCGCCACACAGAACAATGAGAATTCGAAGAGAGATAGAAAAAAAAACTAAGGAGCGCAAAAGAAAAAGAGAACAATAACGAAGAGATTGGTGTAAGGTAGTGTGGTAGTAACGAGGGAACGGAAAGGTACAATCTGAAGAAACCTTTCAGGTAAGGGAGACACAACCACTTTTTATGAAGAAAGTAAAAGAAGGTTACAGCAGGATCGCCACTGGCTTCAATTCTGAGCCATATCTGATAACGTCTCTAGCCACTGTGTCGTACCATCTCTCGGACCCCAACCAGGGAGTCGTGAAGGACCAACACAAGCCAGTCCTTTGCAGCTTTCTTTCATGCCGCGAAACCATGTCATACACTGACCACCTCTCCGCTTCTTCCAACCAGTCCCAGAGTCGGCAAATAATGCACGACGTGGAATTCTCTGGGACGACATTCGTAGAACATGTCCAAGCCACCGAAGTCGGTGTTTCGAGATGGTGACATCGATTGCATAATCATCTCTGTGCCCGAACACACGATGCCGAACCTCTGCATTACTGACATGGTGTTGACACTGAATGTCAGCAATCCTTCGGAGACAATGATGATCGAACACAGAAAGTCGTCTAACGTCTATCTGCTCACCATCCAGAGTGAGTACAGGATTAGAATCCTGCCAGTCTTGTAAAAGTACTTTGCACTTCGAAGGTGCAAAGCACATACCATACCTACGGACACTGATTTCCAACTGATTAAGTGCGGATTGCATGGCTTGGGCATTATCGCTCAGTAAGACAATATTGTCCGCATGCTCAAGGTCGAGAAGTCTTTCTCCAGGCAACAGATCCACACCACCATTACTTACATCCATGAGAGCTGTTTCCAGAATGTCATTGATAGCAAAGTTGAAGAGGAATGGTGAGATTGGACAACCCTCTCTAACCCGACTGCTCGAATGGAACAATGGAGAGAGGTGGTTGTTTGCCCTCACTCTACCTGAGGTGTTTTTATATAGGGCCTTTAGGATGTTAATAAACTTCTCAGGCACACCCTTCTTCAATAGACAATCCCAGAGAACAGTCCTATCCAACGAATCGAAGGCAGCCCTGATGTCAAGAAACACTACGATTGTTGGCCTTTGATAAGTATGGTGGTGTTCTAACATTTGGCGGAGGGTGAAGATATGATCAATACATCCTAGACCAGAACGAAAACCAGCCTGCTCCTGGTGAGTCAATCTTTCTCGGGTTTCGAACAACCTACGAAGTATGACAGAAGCCAATAGCTTGGACGCAATCGGAAGTAGACTTATCCCCCGATAGTTGTTACAGAAACGACGTGAACCCTTTTTGAAGATAGGGACAACTATCGACTCATTCCATGACGTTGGTACACTCTCTAGTTCCCAGGCCTTTGTAAACAACGTCGTCAATTCCTTAGTCAAAAAGTCACCACCATCTTTAAAAAGAGCCGGAGGTAAGTCATCTGGGCCAGGTGATTTGTAACGCTTCAAGAGTTGGAGTTCGTTGCGGACTTCCTCCTCGTTTGGTGGATCAGTCGTCACCGGCCATGGAGGGCAGGACAGTCTGACCGATGTTGCCGGAGCAGCAGGCCAGTTGAACTGACCTTCGGAAAAATTCTGCCCATCGTCCAAGACGTCGATGGATGTTAGTGATTGGCATCCCATCATCCTCGCAGATTGTTTCACTCACACCAGACTTCTTGCTGCCAGTGGCTCGGATGAGCTGGAAGAGATTCCGGTAGTTACCAGATGCAGCTGCTGCTTCCAGCTCATTAGCACGCTCCGACCACCAGGCCTCTCGGTCCTTACGCAAGCTTTGCCCAATTTCCTTACGTAACATCCTTCGTTTATGGTCAAACTCACGGTCACCCGGAGTAGACCGACGGGCTTCAATGAGTTGTAAGGAACCAGAAGAAACCCAGTGCTTATAAGCGGGACGTTTCGCAAACCCACAACTGACTGTTCCCGCCATTTTCATGGCGTCATGCAATTGCAACCAATGCTCATCTATACCTTTCGGTGGAGTGGTAGCTAGCCTAGAGGCTAGCTCGGTTCGATACTTACTAGCAACAGAAGTTGCAACCAGCTTGCTAATATCAATCCGTTGATGGCGGTCACTTCGTTGTCCACTGAAAAGTAAGGCAAGATTGGCGCAGACCAAGGCATGTTCAGAGTCCAGATAGGTACTCCAAAAGAGCGGCAGTCTTTTACACAACCACGCCGGCGGTAGCTGATCGCGATGTGATCAATCTGAGTCCAGGCTTGGGATGCAGAGGGAGGACGCCAGGTGGCACATCGGCGATGACTGTGCCGAAAGTTAGTGCTAGCCAGAAACAGGTTGTGGTCTGTGCACAGTTGCAGTAGACGGTCCCCGTTATCTGACCTGCGACCAACGAGTCCCCATCGGCCACCTAAACGACTCTCTTCTGTGCCTAGACGCCCGACCTGAGCATTCAAGTCTCCGGCTAGTACTACAATATCTGTCGAACGCACTTTCTGGAGAAGGACAGATAACTGGTGGTAAAACTCACCCTTGATTGCATCCGGGCTGCAATCTGTCGGGGCATAGGCGGAAATGACGAAAAGACATCGTTTCTCACGCCGATTTCTTCTCACTTTGATGGAACTCTATAATCTAACAGCACATAACCAACTGTTAATGGGGATCCAATCGATTAGTGCTGCCTCAGCTCTAGCTCTTAGTGCGACAGCAAGACCAGATGAAGATGCCACAGGGTCCCCGGATAAGCGCACGTAAAACAAGCTTTTCGAAGCGACAGATGGAGATCGAATTTGTAGTACTTCGCCAGAGTCTTGAATACGGGTCTCGGTTAGACAACAAACATCAATATTAAGACTTTCCAAAGACATAGCCAGCCCTATTTGTTGTCCGACCTGCACTAGTGTGCGAACGTTGAAGGCAGCCAGTTTGAATGGTGCACGTGGTTTCAGAGAAACTGCTTCAGTTCTCGTATTCGGTGGTAACATACAATTTTCAACCGGACAGTGACTCGAGAACGTTTAGATACAGTCGAATTTCCACCAAAGACGAGCCGCTGTATAAGTATAAAAGAGGGTGAATAATGTGGAAAATAATAATAATAATGACAATAATGGTAATAATAATAATAGTATTAATAATAACAATAATGGTAATGATAATAATTTGAATCAATTTATTGTTTTTCGAAGCGAGGAAAGTAATTTCCATAGACATAAAGAGTTCATCATTCGTGTGTGGGCTGTGATACTGCCCGGGTGCCCAAACCGAAGCAGGTGGTTATCTTAGGGAGTCACCCCCCGAGCCTTTGACCTAATGATCTAACCCACAAGGCAGTGGAGCATCGTAAGGAGGTGCAATCCCATGGTAGCCGGTGACCAACGATTGGTTCACACGCCATTTGTTCCCGCAGGATACTGGAGCCCATGTGCACCATTGGTTTGTGATCCGGTTAAAGCGCCGGACATTCGCTTTTCGTCCTCTCATTTTCGTAAACAACACCCCCGCCACGAGAAGGCAATGAGTAGGACTTCCCTGGCAGAGGCTGTATACGCGCGGCCGTGTGAGAATATTTCCTGATTGGGTTTATTATGATAATGCAGCTCAACAGTCTGAGATGTCAGATATAGGTAAAAGCAAAGGTCTTTGGTAATCTGGCTGTAGTTTTTTTCACAGTTCTTATAAACACGAGAGTAATTCTAACTGTAAGAAGTCTTCTCTTTATTTTTGACTGGATTGTATATTTTATTAAATACCATTTTTGTTTATTTGTTCATTGATAATATGACGTTTCACGCTTCTATTTTTTCATACTGTCATCCTACATTGCGTAGTAAATTCTTCTGAATGCCTTTTACCAAAATGTTTATGTGTTATAAATAAACATTTATTCTGAGCAAATTGTAGTAGTGCTATAGAGATTGCCAGAGTGGGAAATACTTGGATTTATTGAAGTGTTAAGAACGAAGTGAAAATTGTAAACTTTAGTGATTTATTTAGAAATTAGTATGTACATACTCTCGTGATATTGATTTTACTTTTAACATTATTATAGTATAGGTAATGTTGTTCTCTTGCATTATACACCTTTTTTATGTCTTATTCCCATTGATTTATAATTTGGTCCTTTCATTTCTTCTGTAAATATCTTGACATGTTAATTTATAATCATGTTTGACAGAGTGTATTTCCCTTGTAAATAATTGAACCAAATTAACATTTGTGCTAATCTTATTTGGTTGTTTATTTATCAAACCGCTAAACGTCATAAATTCCATTTCCTACTCATTGGATATCAAAAATATGTCACTATTTCACTTCTAATTCCCATTTTAGTAGAATTGGAAATTTATTAAGAGGAAGTATTTAACTAGTAAGAATAATTGAATGAGTTACTTAATTATTTTGACATAATAATGGTGAATGTATATTGTATCATTAAAATTGACCCTAGTATTATTAATATCCTATCAATTTTAGTGTATTATCTTGCAGTCAGCCGTAATAACGAGGAATTCCCTTCTCTGGTTTGTTTTATGTTTACATTTCGCATAGATATCTGGCTTCGTAATTTTTGGAAATGGACACATTTCTCTAACTATTTATTATTCCTATGTTTATTTACACTGATTTTCGGTCTGTGCACTTACTTATTGTCATCGAGTCAAATTTATATTCAATTATTGGGCTTTACTGCCTTGTTTATCGAATCTATGTTGGGTTTACCACAATTTACGAAGAATTTTTGTAATAAATCGATTGTTGGAATGAGGTAAGTGGTTAGTAGTTTAATTTGAAAGTTTTCATACTTGAAGACAGGCAAGTGAACAAACAGTCGTATCGTTTTTCAACGACTGTCCTCTTAACGTAAAATGGTCCAAAATAGTTTATACCAACAGAATTGAATGGTAGTACGTAAGCTTCCAGGTGACATTCGGGTAGTGAAGCCGTAATCTGTGTGCACGGCGTAGTGTTGAGTTTCTTGCATAAGAAGCACCGTTTCAGGACTCTTTGGATAGCAGTCTGAGCTCTAATGACCCAGAACTCTTCGCGGAGACTGTTCAGGGTGTGAGTAATACCAGAATGCGCGTTCTGCAAATAATAGTGCATTACGACCAAGTCAGTAACAAAATGATTACTAGGAAGTATAAGCGGATGTTTGTTTTCGAAGGGCAAGCACGATAATTTAAGTCGTCCCTCTACTCGAATGAGATCATTTATTACGAAGGGATTAAGATTCTTCATTGGGCTCCTACGCGCAACACTACTTCTCATTTTCTTACCAGCAGACATTAGATGGAGTATCATTTCCTTATTCGAAACAGATTCATTATATCAGTCTTTCTTGTGATTCACGTGTACTGCCGTGCTCGTCTTTATGCTGTATGCGCCTTAGCGTCTCCATCTCTATGGGGAATGAGATTATTTGAACCAATTTAATTATATATTGCTTCGCACTATCAATTTCTCTCAATCTACCATGAATTAACGGTCTTCCGTCTAATCTCATCCTCATATTGTGGAGGAACCGTTTGTATAGAGCGAATATTCTCAGCATTTTGGACCAGGTCTTACAATGACTAAATTGATTCAAATATTGGTCTAAATGACTCCCCGCTAATGTTTCGCCCAATTCTTCTGTAAACAAGTGGGCATGAATTTGACCAGCCACTTTCGTTCTGCCATAAAATGTTCGGTCCATGAAACCACTCTTTTTATTTTAATGCTATCATCTAACGACAATCCACACAAAGCATGATCTGCAGGATTCTGTTTACTTTTAACATAGTCAGTCAGTAACAACGTAGAACTTCGTACTTACGTACATCAGTTCGAGTTGCCACACCACATTAGCACAGAGATGCCGTGGTCGATTCAAATCCCGTAGTGGTAGAGGTAATAAGAGTATAAGCAGTAATCAGAAAGATTAGTGTTTGGAGATGTTACTTAAAGAGTATAATACAGTGAAATAAACTTGGGAAGAGAAAAAAAGAGACAAGGGGGAATCAGGAGATCAAAATTTGGGAGAACACAAAGAGTGGATGCACCTGCGCCATTGCAAACGATTTTGAGCCATGTCATTCAAGGTCTCTAACCATCGGTTGCTATCATCTCGCGGTTCCCAACCAGGTAGTCTACACATACCGACATGACTCAGTCCACTTGTCAGTGACTTCATGGACGTGTGCCATGTTTTGGTCTGGCCGCCCCTAGCTTTCTTCCAACCTACTCCTATACCACTGAACATCGCACGTCGAGGCAGTCGGTCGTTGGGCATACGTAACACGTGTCCCAGCCATCTCAACTGTTGAGGTTTCACTACGTCATCAATTGATTTGCCATCCTTACCTAGTACCCGTTTCCTAACAACTGCATTACTTACTCGATGGTCCCATGATATACGAGCAATATTTCGAAGACACCTATGATCGAATACTAGTAACCTACGAATATCCTCTATTCTTACCGGCCATGTTTCACTGCCATAAAGTAGGACGGGACGAACTGCTGCGCAGTAAATACGTCCTTTGGTTGATAGACGGATATCTCGCCTACGCCATAAATGACGCAAGTTAGCAAAAGCTAGTCGAACCTTCTGTATCCGTGCTGAGATTTCGTCACATACCAGACCACAAGGGCTGATGAAACTTCCAAGATAAGTGAAGCGGTCGACACACTCAACTACTTCACTCCCTATCACTAGTTCGGGTGTCGATGTAACCCAATCCTGAAGCAACATTTTGCGTTTCGAGGGAGAGAATCGCATCCCGAACATGCTTGCATTGTTGCTTAGAGTGGTCAGAAGACTCTGCATTTTGTCAGCGTCTTCGCCAAGTAAAACTATGTCAACAGCATATTCTAAGTCAACAAGTGAACCTCCCGGTAGAAGTTCAACCCCTGGAAATTTAGATGAGGAGATTGTCATCTCTAAAAGTACGTCGACCACAAAGTTGAACAAGAATGGAGAGAGTGGACAGCCCTGACTTGCTGTAGACGACAGCTCGTGAATCGTTGGTAAGCTATTGCTTACGAATCTCTCAAATCTTTTGATTGTATTTCTTATACAATGAAGTATGACCAATGAATCCTTCCAATAAGTGACAGAGATAGGGTTGCGTAATTGTTGTTCCACGTGTTTTCCAATCTTAGCACACAGTACAGCAGTTGTTAATTCTTCTGACTTCTTCATATCCCTCTTTTCTTCTTTCCAAATTTATTTCACTGGATTATACTCCTTGAATAACATCTATAAACCTTAATCTTTCCGATTACTGCTTATACTTTTAATACCTCTACTACTATTACTACTACTACGGGATTTGAATCAACAACTGCATCTCTATGCTAATTTGGTATGGCAACTCGAACTGATGTACATACGTACGAAGTTTTACGTTGTTACTGACTGACTAACTGACTAGGAATGGTTATAGGTTTCAGTGGGCCAACCATGAACTTAGCTAATAGAAAGGAACAATAAACTTGACGGGAGATGTCCTCAAAACGACCATAAGCCACAATACCATATGCAAATCCTAAGGCATCGGCAAAGCAAGTGAATATGAGTACCCAGTGGTTTGTACAATTATGGTACGAGACATCTGGAAAGTAACAGTTCACTTATGCACCTCATACTTCTGAGCTAAGTCCCATCTCATAAAGTGCTCCCTAGGAAGCTCTGCGTCCCGTGCCAGATTGTGCCGAAAAGTATGTTGCAAAATTAATTTAGCTGGTAAAACAACGAGCTGTAAACCCAACTGGGTCGAATATAGAAGCTACATACGACAAAATGGTTCTCCTTGTAGGAGTCGCATTGAATTCACACAACCTGAAGATCTTATCCGTTCAAATATTCCACTTTATTCCTAGAGTCCTTTCATTTCTTTCCATAGATAAACAAATGTCTTCGTTTCTTTCTATGCGGTCTTCCTCTGAAACAAACTTCAATTATTCAACATCGTTACTGGCTCATTTGGTCAGATTAAAACCCCCTAAACGTAACATTTCCTTCGGCTGAGAATATATTAACTTAGCTTCTAACGTATTAACACTGGTTGATAACTTGGTGAGGTCGCACCAAACAAATGCACTTTCATCTTACAAGTTTCTGATTCAGTTCTTATGTCACCCTGCGGCCACCATAAAAATTTAAGGGCATCGCGATCCTGTGACGGTACAATCACTTGATGAAACATAGCTTCAATATCTGCCGTGAGACCTATTGACCGTTGCCGAAATTTGGTGGAGGCATCTACCAGATTGTTAAATAAATCTGGACCAGAATACAAGTTTTTGTCCAGGGACGTCCCAGAGTATTGCACTGCACAGTCGAATACGATTCTTAGCTTATTAAGTTTTTTTTGGATGGAAGAAAGGGTGGTGCGGTAAATACCAAACCCGACGCCTAACGAAGTTCTCTGTAGCCTTTCCCGCGTAGCCCCGATCAACATACTATGCCATCACATTAACATATTCTATGTGCAACTTCTAGTCACGGATGAGCCGGTTTCTCAAGGAATTTAATTTACTCATAGTTAGTTTTTTATTATTATGTAGGCTTTGGTGGTGACGCCAGGGCAAAGCTATTTGGTAATGCCTGTTCACTAACTATGTAGATTTGGACATAGCATTTAAGGCTTTACGATCTTCAGCCGACATGGGCGCATGTTGATTCGAGTCTTCTTCAAAGCCCATCTTATATAACTAGTCTAATCTAGCTTCTAGTTCATCTTTCGACAATAGATAATTTTTATGATACCAATATTTCTCGTGGTCTCACTGTAAGGTCCAAACAACGTCCACCCTAAAGGAGTTTTTATAGCGTATGGTTCGTTAGATTTTCTCACTCTCATTTTTATCTTATGTTCCTCAGGTACATTGTACCTGACGTCTTTGTTGTCAACTCTTGGGAGGGTCACACCGCAAGTGAGACCACGATGCCATCTGATATGTTGTTTATACCGTCTCACGAAACATAGGTAATCTCTCGACTGTTCACACCTTTGAAGAATCTAAGGAGCAAACTTCTAGTTGGATCTCATTACAATGAGATGTGGACTGGCTATCCAGCGTTTTCAATAACAGCGTCTTGAACTCTTCCTCTAAACCCAACTTTCTAGCTAAATATTCTGTAATAAGCAAAGCGTCTGAGCCATTATCTAGGAAAGCGCAAGTGTGTACTGCCCTTTCTCCATTTTTTACCAATACAGGTACTATTGCAAATGCTACTGGTCTCAGTACACGCTTAGCACTTTCCTCCGTACAGAGTTGGGTATTGATATGCACATTACTATTTCTGTCTCTCTACTCTTTCCGCTTCCTGTTTAACAAGGTGTGGTGTCTCCAGCCACATCCTTCGACTGCACATGACCTCGGTGCTCGACGGTTTCTTGTTTTGTGGTTCGCCTTCAGACAGACACCGCATAACTTCTTTAATAAGAACTCTATCCTTTCATTAATATCCTTTATCTCTAAACCTTTCATATTGGTCTAAGGGGTGGTTTCCAGTACATAATAAGCATGACAACTTAAAGGTGCTTGATCTTACGTGTGGAGTGACATCAGACCCACTCGCGTCAGCGAACGACACTCTCCTTATACTCTGAATAAAGATTTCTCTTAGTAACAACAGCCGACTGCCTTTTGTTTCATTTAGAACGATCTTCACTGACAAGTAATCCGTATCTGGTATTAACAATATCCGACTGCTCCTTCACAAATTTGTAAAGGTCCTTAAATTAAGGCTCTCTACTCTTAAGAATTCTACATGCCACTTTCGCCCATTCTCTTTGTAAATGTGGTGGGAGTTTCAAAAAACATACTCTCAATAGTTTTTGTAGAATTCAGATCGGATACATAGTTCATTTACTTGAGTGTTAGATCACAAATCTGCATCTCACGAGATAGTCTTCTAAAATTATCTGGATTAGTCCCCTTAATAACAGGGATGTTCAGCATCTTACCAATAAATGCATGGGATACGATGTGCTTCTGACCGAATGCTTCCTCGAAAAGCTCTAACGCCTTACGATAGCCTTCTTTTGGTTCGAGTAGTACACAATGAACAATAGTAGATTTAGCTTTACCATTACAATACTGAATCAAATAATTTAACCTAGATCGACTTTCAACACTTGCATCGAAGCAGTTTACGAAATTCCGTATGAAACTCCAATATTTCACGGGATTACCGTCAAACACGATCTCTCTTTTTGGTAGGCCCATAGCTTTAGATATCATTGTTACTCAGTCCTTTCCAGGAGGAACATCAACTGCACGTTGGGCAGATGTAAACTTGTACGACGTCATTTTGTCAGCCACAACTTGACTATAATGTTCTCTCCCCTTTTGATATAATCTTTCCAACTCAATTTCTCTTTCTGTCTGAGCTAAGCGTACTTTAGGTAATTCTAACTCTAACAGGGGATCCGTTCGGTAGCTGTTTTCTCGAATCTTTGTAGGATTTAATTTGTTCTACAGACATTCTGCTAGAACTGCAAACGTGATACTGGCGACCCCAGAGTCTATGTGAAAGCTATGATCAGAACAAGGACAACTTGGTTTTAAACTTTATCTGTTTTTAAAAATGAAAACAATTAGATTAGTACAATAATTAAAGTAATTATAATCGTTAAGTGAAACGCATAAACATACCGACCAGTATTGCGTGTCTTATCGAAATGAATAAAAATGCGTCACACTAATATAATAGGATAATAATGTCTTTCAATCGGTAGGTTATATGCAACGGGGATAGTCTACAGACACATCGAACCAGATTGACGTGGTGAGAGCTTAAGCAACGATTTGATTGGTTAGTCATGGACATAACTAACACGAAGTTCTCACTGACGTTTATTATTGTACAAACCTTTTGATGAACCATCTAAAACGTTTTGAGCCAGAGACCAACAGGGATACTAGATTGAATCCTTACAAAGCAGATTAAATAATAATAAATAGAGGCTACTTACCACACTTCCTTGAATTGTAGCGTTTAAATGGGAGGAAAACCCGGTGAAATTTATGGATCAGTTTCGGTGGTTTCATTACTACATTAATCTAAGTGAAGTTCAAACAAACAATATATGCCACACACATGTCTAGCTCTCAGGAATGTAATGTTAACACTGAAAAAAATAAATTATAATAAATATTGTTTTCATTTCTTGAAAAATATCAATCGATTAGTTGTTCGGGATGCAGATGATCTAGATATCGAAATTAATTATCTGTTTATAGTACAGAACACTAAATCACATATAACCCTGATCTTCCACAACTGTCTTATTAAAACCTAAGAGTTCATTTCTTGGTTATCGATAAATTTATATTTAAAATTAGTTTCTATAAATCTTATTCAATTTCGAATATGTTTCACCAGTAATTGTAACATTTTGGAAGAATCAATATAAATTCTGATTGTTTCTGGCATTTATCGAACTATCTTGCGAAGCTCTATAACTATTGTGAAATTTCCTTTGAATATATATATATATATATATATATATATATATATATATATATATATATACCGATCAATTAGAATTTAATATAATAGTATAGAATTCTAGAAAAATATTGTTTAGCTAATTAAATCTTAATCTAACTGTCCTAGTTTACGTACTTTTTCTTGAAGACTCATTCATTAAAGTTTGTCTTTTAAGTTGCACTTTATCGTTATTGTTGATTTTGTTTGGTTGCTTTTCACATCAAGTAAAAAAAAGATTCTTTTTAATGGACTAATTTTGTTTCGATTTATTTATTCTATTGATTACATTAGCAACTCGTTGAATTTGAGTTGTGTGCAATTTAATCGATTTTTAATGCTGTTTAGTTGATCACATTTAAATGTATGCGGATTTAATTATTTGAAGGTAATTTTCGTCATGAAGGCCTTGGAAAACAGTGTCAGTTGTTTTATCTGGGTTAAGGATCCTTAAATAACTTATACATATTGTATCGCATGACATCTAATAGAGAACGATCGACACTCTGTGATTTACACCATACCTTCGGCTGACTGAATTAGAGTTCAATGTCGATATTTCCGAATTCAATCGATATCTGAAATAATTAAGGTAATAAGTAACTTGTTTTTCAGTAAACATTTTTAGATACCTTGAAAAAGGTTACCAGTCCGGCTCACGATTAAATACTGTTTTTTCTTTGAATTCCGTTGATTGATGGTGTTAGGCTAGGAATAAAATAAATGAAATTTATGCATTATCAAATGCTAAACTATTACAATGAAATGAATTAGACCGACAATGACTCACAAACCTTGAATAGTATAATGAAGTAAAGATAATAATCAGGAGTATTGTATAATGATAAAAACTAGGACTGTGATAATGAAAGCGCGTGTACCAAATGTTCGATTAATTCTGAAAACTTAATAATGTTATTATTTATTTGAACACATAAACATTGGTGCAAGAAGGCGCTAAATACATATGCACCACACAACAATGATGATATGAAGAGATAGAGAGTGTGGGTTGAGTAAGACAGTAAGACGATATCGTCCGCATCTCCAGGGTCGAAGTCTTTCTCCAGGCAACAGATCCACACCACCATTACTTACATCCATCGGAGCTGTTTCCAGAATGTCATCGATGGCAAAGTTGGAGAGGAATAGTGAGATCGGGCAACCGTGACTAAACATGTCAAATTAATGTAAAAATGGCATATCTCTATCATCATTATCAGATTTACAAAGTTGATTTGATTGATATACGTTAGTCTCAAGTAGCATGGATGATTTAGTCTCATATCATATGTCGAGTTGTCAAAGATTTCACTTTTTGAAGGTTAGAGAACTTGTTACACCAAATCTTTAAAAGTTGATTACTTTTCATTTGTGACTGTCAACAAATTGTCTTAAATTTAACATAAATTCAAACTGATATTATTATCTTTCATTTTTTTTCATCTTCAGTGTTTCAATGGTGTTAATGTGGACTTCAGGTGATATATTCAAAACAATTTACTTTATATTAGAAAATGCTCCATTACAGTTTCTAATGTGCGGTTTACTACAGATTGGATTAGATTTAGCCATTCTTCTACAATGTTTATTTTATAGAGGTGAAGGATTTACGTGATATGAATGTTACAATTGATTAAGTCAACATGGACAGCGAAGACAGTGGTGTCAGTTTGTATGTGATTGTGGATAGTAAATTTACTTTACTTGTTTATCTGAAATATTCATCATTTTGTACTTCGGTTGTAGAGAAATCTTTTCTATGCCCATCAATTTCACGTACAAATTCTCTTCTTATTTTGAGATCTCACCTAAGTGACATTGTATATTTGTTTAATTTTTGTTATTGTTCACTTTTATATTTTTTCTGCAACTCTTATGTATTTCAGCTTAAAGTCAACTTGGAGCGATTACTATAACCCTCTGATTATGTCATTTTTGTCAGATTGTTCGGTCTACTATATGTGATAATGAAGAGTTTATGAACAGTTAATAAATTTATCGCTTTAGGATCGACATTCTTCTGTGTCACTAATTAACTTAGCTCTTCTGTAGTATACACATTGAACAGCTGTTATTTATTGACAAAGATCATTCATTAAAGTCGACAACTGATGAGTGTTTATGATTAGATGAAATCCATAAATTTAAAAGTGTAATTCTAATCGCAAGACTTGAATGTTTAGATGATTAGGAAGTAATGAATTAAGTTTGATATTTAGGTCATAATTTCATCGTCAGTTGAGTGACCCGTGAAATATGTACCATTCAGTAGATCATCTTCCAATTATCTTTTTATCATGTTTACTCTTTTGTTCAACATTTCGTATGCAGGGATTTTATGTCATCAATTGATTGGCACTGATTTCATCAATTTTAACCATCTGAACCTCGTTCACCATTCATGATTAATCCTGATTCATTCGTATCCTCAATTATGTTTACACGGTAATAAAAAGCCTTGAACCAAGATTAAACAGGTGTTTAACGTTGTCTCTTAATCTTCAATATTTCTCCAGCCGTGATATCAGTTCATGATCATAAGGTGATTAATTTGTCTACCCAAAAACTAATCGTTGTGTTGGGGCAGCCACTAGTGTTAAGTGATTAATTTATGGTCGTCTGCTTAGTTAGATTAGATCTCTGTATTCATATAAACTTAATCAATTATTGGTCGTTTCTGACTAAAATACACTTCTGAATAAACAATTTCTTCCGATTACTTCATTGAATATGTACTGCTTGTGGAAAACAGTTATTATGACTGCTTAAAAGTTGAATGACTAGTTCATCCACCTAACCAGGGACTATTGACCATTTAGGTCATTTAACTAATCACAGATTATATGAACTGCAAGTTATATATTATTCGACGAATTGAACTTCTTGGATAGTTTGTCTCCTTGTATTGTTTGACTGAAGTTAACAAGCCTCGAAAGCATGCGTTAACGATTGAGTGAAGGAGCAGTTTATGTTTGTAATTCAGTTATTGATATAGATTGTCCGTGCTATGTGGGTTGTAATCCTGCTTTAGTTCGGGCACCCGGGAAGTATTCCAGCCCTCGCACAAATCGAATGATTTATGTGGCGCATATCTATTTGGTACCTCATTGTACCAATGCTTGTGCTTTCAAAGTAAGTAGATGCAATAAAATGAATTCGTTGCTTTGATTAGCTTTTAACTTCGTTTGGACCGTTTAATACAACAGTACATAGAGAGTAGTTAGGATGGATCCAGTCAACTAGTGAAATTTGGGCTCTAGCGTCGGATGGAATATTGAATAAATGAACGTAAACTTTATGGTGTTTTTGAATTTATAAGTGTGAAACCTAACTATTTTAATTAACAGATGTAAAGAAGTTGATGAAGTCATGAATTCAGATTTCTGGTTTACATCATACACAAATGACTAAACTTGTCAAAGTTCTAATCAGATCTGTCGCTTTTTTTGATTGACATTTTAAGTAGCGAGTCATAATGATACGTGATGTTTTCAAATTACTGGATTAGACACTACGAGAGTGACAGTAAGAGAGAGAAAGCGTGAACTTGGAAGGAGATTTATATTAATCAGAACATTCAAAAATGACTGGGTACTGAATGAAATAGGGTATAAAAAAGTAGGAAGTGTGTTAGAATACAGTAGATTTAATGAATGAGGTTATTTATTATAATATGGAACTAATAATAAAGTATTTATAAAAAGAATTCCGTATACTCTTCATCTAACTGTCATGGTTTGTAATAACTGGTACTGGATGGTGCGTACGAACTGAAATGGATAACTTTCGAGCCAATGACATAGTAGAGGTCAGTAAGGAAGCATTCAGTTAGCTACAACATAGGATCAGGCACATATATGCATCGGTTCAAGTTGCCATACCTCATTAGCACAACAAGATGAACACCGGATTCTTAAAAGCAAATTCACTTGTGGTAATATATAAAAGAATGATTGCAATAAGGATATAGTACAGGAAGAAAGAATTAGTTCGTAGAAAGAAAGATATGAAGCAATTTTAATCTCTTCGTTTAAGGAAAGACAAAGAGTGTATACACCGACGCCATTGTGATCGATTCTGAGCCATGTCACCAAGAGTCTCTATCCATTGGTTACGATAGTCACGCGGACCGCAACCAAGTAGTCTGCATCTGCCAACATGGCTGAGATCATAAGTTAGTGACTTCAAGCACTGGTGCCACGTTTCGGTTTAACCACCTTTAACTTTCTTCCATCTATTCCATACACTAGTCAACATTGCGTGTCGTGGTAATCGGTGTTCGGGCATACGTAACACGTGACCCAACCATCTCAGTCGATGAAGATTCACAACCTCATCAACTGATTTACCATCATCATTCCCTAATACCCTACGTCTAACCTCACTATTACTTGGTGATCCCGGCAGAGGCGAGCTATATTTCTACGACATCTGTGATCAAATATTAGTAGCTTACGAATACCTTCTACTCTTAATGACCACGTTTCATAGTCATAAAGTAGGACAGAGCGAATTGTTGCACAGTATACTCGTCTCTTAATTGATAGTCGGATATATCGCCCTCGCCATAGGTGACTTTTATTTTTGAAGAGATTACGAGTTCATCTAATCTGAGAACGGAACAAAGACTGACCAAAGACCAATAAGCTAGCTATTCTGACGCGTCCCAGCCCAGTTGACTAGAGAGGAAAAGTCCAAATTCGTAAGAGGGAAATATATTTCACAAGTAGTCAGAAGCACGAACAACCACGACAAGTCTGGTCCGAAATACACACTTATTTAAATATTGATTCATACACCCATTTTTTATTAATAATTACAATAAAATCATATGAAAAATACTTCATACAAGAATATCGTTTATTTTATTTATTTGAACACAAATATTGGTACAAGGGAGCATCAAATATATATGTGCCACACAAAATAATGAGAATGAAAAGAGAAAAAAGAAGGTAAGGTGCATATAAGAAAAAAAGAACAGATTAGTTGTGAAAAGTTATATGCTGAAAATAGTTCATTTCCACTGAATACAAGAATATCGTATGTTATACAGAATAAAATATCATACGGGAAAAAACATACTATGTTGGGTAATCATCACATTGAATTAAAACGGAAGTAATGTTGGACAAAAAATCGTAATGAGTAAATAAATCTAATTTTGACTTTTCATCCCATCATATCAGTGACGTAAGTTAGCAAAAACCAAACGAGCTTTTTGAATCCGTAAAGAGATTTTGTCAGAAACTAACCCATTAGCAATGATCAGACTTCCAAGATAAGTGAAGTTGCCAACGTGTGCAACTGCTTTACTCCTTATCCTAAGTTCAAGTGTTGACGCAGGCCAGTCCCGAAGCAACATCTTGCATTTAGAGACGGAGAAACATATCACAAGCATCCTGGCATTGCTGCTCAGTGCTACCAAAAGACTCTGCATTTTATCAGCATCTTCACCAAACAGGATTATGTCATCTGCGTATTCTAAGTCGATAAGTGAACCTCCTGGCATGAGATCGATGCCCGAGAATTCAGTCGATGAAGGCGTTATTTCCATCAGTAGTTCTATGATTAAGTTGAGCAAAAATGGAGAAAGTGAACAGCCTTGCGAAAGCAGATGACAGTTCGCCTTAAGCTCTGACTCGACTAGTAATGTTCCAGTAAAGAGCCTTCACAAAGTTTATGTACTTCTGAGGTATGCCTTTCAATGATAGACACTGCCACAGAATCTCGCGGTCTACGTAGTCAAATGCTACTTTTAAGTCAAGAAAGACCACCACTGTAAGTATGCCTATGTTCTAGAACCTGACGAATGGTGAATATGTGGTCGATGCAGCCACGACCAGGTCCAAAGCGAGCCTGATTTTCTTATGTTTGCAGTTCACGAGTCTTTGTTGGGCTCCCGATAATTGTTGAGGCTAGTATTTTAGATGCTATGTTAACCAAACTAATCCCTCTATGGTTGTCACAGGATGGCTCTAACACTCTCTTACATATTGGGACGATAAGTAATTGTGACCAGTCAAATGGGATAACGTACAACTCCCAGATCTTAGCTAAAATATTGGTCAACCTAATCGCTAAAATTGGACCACCATCCTTAAAGACCTCTGGAGCCAATCCATTTGGTCCAGATGCCCTTCCTCGTTTCAGATTAGCTTTAGCCTTTTGAACTTCAGCCAGAGTTGGGGGACCTACTTCAATGTTCCATTCACACTATCTGGGAACGGAGGAAGTTATAGAGTAGCTGAAGTCCGGCTGAACTGCTTCTTAAAGTGTTCCGCCCATCGTTCTAAACGCCTGGGCTGTGAGCAGATAAGTGTCGTCTTTTGACTTCTTAATTCCAGTTTCCTTTATTAGTCCAAATAGCTGTCTTGTGTTACCTACAGCTGCTGCCTTTTCCATCTTTTTCGTTGTCCACCACAGCCCGCGGTCGTTCCCTAGATTTTTGGTTAACTTAGATCTGATTTGTTTTCGCTCTTCAGCAAGTTCGGAGCCTGATGGGACGAGTTTACGAAAGTCTCTCTGTGCAATAGATGTAGCAAAAATCCACTGGTTGTTCGTGACCCTTTGGTTCAAATCACCAATAGATGTTGCTGCTGTTTCCACAGCTGTTCGTATGTCTTTCCAAGTGACATCTGGTTCAGCCTCGTTTTCAGAACTACCTAAGTGTGACCTCAGTTGTTTCTGGAATCTACTTTTGGTTTTCTCGTCACTCAATTCAATTCTAATGGGTCTTTTTAGTGTGGCTTCTCTGCGTCCAGTGAGGCGCAAGTAGATGCATGCCTGTATTAGAGCATGGTCGGAGTCCAAGTAGGTATTCCAGGATGAGCAACAATCTTTTGTCGGGCCTCTCAAACGATGACTGATGGCAATATGGCCTGTTTGAGTCAATCGTTAGTTTGGTGCAAGAGGTCTTCAAGTTGAACGATGTCTCTCCTTATGCTTAAAATTAGTGCTTGGTAAAACTAAACAATCGTCTGAACACAGTTTCAGCAGATGGTCACCG